GCATCAACTGATTTCAACTGGCTGTCAGCCAATACAACAGTACAACTGGAAAGTAACATATCACACTTTTAAATATCAAAACAAAACATGACATATAGCAGACGGTTATAAATATTTATTATACTAACTTGAGCCAGCTTTTGTAAACAATCAAAGGGAAATCGCAAAATATTTACAAATCTAGTTAAACCCTAAACAAGTCTGTTTTTTTTAAACGTTATCACAGATAATTGGGGAGTGAAGCGACCATTTATTCTATCTAAAAAAATGCTAAACTAAAGACATCAACCAAGTATGTTTCAGTCAGACAGCTCAGACTCGACCAGACAATGAGGAACATGATCAAAATATTGAACATGTACAATTTTAAACATACAAACCGTAAATCTCTCACGCTTCTCGACGATTTCGTAGCCGACGATCGGAACAGTATAGTTTTCCGGCGAAGGCGATTCACAGCTAGCGTTGTCCATTGTCAACTTCCGTGCTCGGGAAGGACAACGTGTGTATGGATTCACATATACTGGATATTGAATGTGCTTTTGACAAGCTGGGTGTCTTGCCTGTTTATAGTTTGCCGGATGCGCATGAATTACTTGATAGCCTGCTTTCATTTCCGCACGAAAAACACGATATCTTTTGGTAATTTTACTTGCAAATTTTCATATATATTGCATGTATGCAAATCTTTTCAAATGTCAAATACAATAATTTGTTTAATACTTCCGGCTTCGAACATTTCGAAGTACACGCTAAGTACACGCGAGAACACGCGTGTTTATTTCTCACGCAAAATTTTTCCGAAATGATGGTCAAGGAAATTGGCAGAAAAACGAATTTTTTATCTTTAGAGAAGGTTCTTTTGTGTTGCGTTTCTACATTTTTGTAAAGAGAAAATTGGGAACTGAATGGACCATTTGCATTATAGACTAAATTTTTGTCTAAACAAGTCTAGACAAAAATTTCATCACAGCTTGAAAGAGCATCACAAAATTAGTAATATTCCAAAGTTTCGTTGCGAAATGTTGTAAAATGCGGATAATATAGCCTTGCGAAATTTGCAATTCAACATATGTTGCCTGTCCAACTCATACTTCTGGACATACTCTAGATCTTATAATATCTAGATCAATTAATGATGTGATTATAACTGAATTAGAATCTACGTTGGCTTTATCTGATCATTCGTTCATCGAGTGTAATTTGAATATGCCTACATGAGTGCTGCCTTTGACACTATAGACCATAATATTCTTATTGATATCCTCAAGAATGATTTTGGAGTAGTGGACAGCGCACTTCAGTGGTTTAGATCGTATCTGGCTAATAGAAAGCAGCAAGTTGTCATTGATCGGTGTAAGTCCTCCGAGTTTATGGTTGCTACTGGAGTTCCCCAAGGCAGCTGCCTGGGTCCTGTTCTATTTTTACTTTACGTGTCTGGCCTTTCTGAGATTATTTCTAAACATCTGCCCTGTCATCATGCTTATGCAGATGACACACAATTGTATCTTTCTTTTAAACCTCAGAACTCATTGCATCAGAGGCAGCTGTTAAAGCAATGGAAGACTGTATTGATGAGCTTCGAAACTGGATGTGTGCACATCGTCTTTTTATTCAAAGTAGCAAGACAGAATTTATCATTATAGGCTCTCGTCAGCAATTATCGAAGGTATCGATTAACAAATTGCGGGTAGGAGAAGTATCGATTTCTCCAGTAGGCGCTGTTCGTGATTTGGGTCTTGGTTAGATACTCATATGTCCATGAATTTGCATATTAGCAAAATCTGCAGCAAGGCCTTTCGAAGCCTTTACCATATCAAACAAATTAGGAAATACTTAACTGACGATGCTACCAAAATTTTAGTTCATGCATTTATTACATCCCATTTGGATTATTGCAATTCTTTGCTGTATGGAATTCCAAAATATCAATTAAATCGATTGCAGAAAGTGCTAAACGCTGCTGCTCGTGTTGTATGTCTCGTACCTAAGTTTGATCATATTACACCTACATTAATGAGACTGCATTGGTTACCGGTTAAATACCGTGTTATATTTAAGATCGTACTGTTGGTTTATAAAGCTCTACATGGATTGGCTCCCAAATATATTCGTGACATGTTGACTTATAAACAAAGTAATAACTACTCGTTGAGATCGGACGAACTAGT